TAATTTAATGGGTAGTTTAGGAACGGGAACAGTTGTTAAATTCAGCTTTTTTTTAGGTTGAAGGAGTTTATATTGGGCTGAATTTAGCAATTAAGGTTAATTATTGTTGTTGTTATGCAAGTTTCTGTTCCTGTTTCTGTATTTGATGCAAGAAATTTAAGAACCAAATTGAAGTTGTGAAATTAGTGTGTTTATTTTTAGTTATTTATGTATTTTTAGTTATTTATGCTAGTAATTATTATTATTATTATTATTTTTACTGGATTTTGTTGTGTATAAAGTTACGTACTCTTGTGGATGATTTGTTGATTTTAGTGAAACATTAATACATTTTGCATGCATGAGCATGAGCTCATTTTTATTGAATAATACTTGCGTAAGTCAAACTAAATATTAATCAACTTTGACTCGTTATATTGTTATTAACAAAAATCCTACTTATGCTAGAAAATGTCATACTTTTGTTTACATTGTTTTTTTAAGTATGAAAAAAAGTTTGAAAGCTTTGTGCTTGAGATCAGAATATTATCAAATAATCGATTTAGGTTAACCAAAGCCAAAAAAAATAAAAAATAAAAAATAAAAAAAATAAAAAAATAATCAGATGAGAAAAGATTTGTATTTCAAAGAAAAAAAGATTACTTCAAATGAAGAATCCAACAATGAGAAGACAAAACATAAAAAATAGTTCGACGGTTTTTGAGATATTATTGTTGATTTTTTGTTTGATGACTTGAATTTGATATTATTGTTGATGAAATATTTCTTGGCATCTGCTTTATAATCCTTTTTGTTTGATGACTTGAATTTGATGGCCATGCACATGGGTACTCAACTGTCTTAAAAAATTATACTTCGGATTTTTCATTTTTTACCAANATATGAAGCACTCACCAAAAAAAATGTCAAATTCTAATGAAAAATCCAACAAATGAAGATTCTAATGAAAATTTCCATGAACATTTCAATAATTTAATTTTCATTAAAATTTCCAGTTGAACTTAAATTTTTTTGGAATTCTATTTGGAATTTGATGTTTCTTAATATTTAATGTTTCTAGCCACACATTTTTCAACGGTTTATTAGTATACGTATCTCTATTATATCTAAAATTTCTGTAAAAATTATTTCTCCCGCTAATAAGTACAACCATTCGAAAAATTATTTTGAATCACCAAAATCCAACAAAAAATTCTATGAAAAATCAATTCCAATAAAACCGTCGAAATCTTCATAGGATTAATTTTCCAATAAGTTATAACATTATAATTATCATTGATATTCAATTGGAACATATGCAAACTATATAATACATTTGTTTTCTTGGTTTATGTGGAAATGCAAAAACTTGTGAAAAAAACTGCATTTTTCCATTTCTTCATATCCCTCCAACCAATCTTTGCCACGTGTCATCCCTAGCTTTATCAGTAAGAGACAAGAGACAAAATTTAAGATAAAACAAGTTAAAAATTCATTAAAGTAAAAAGTGCATTTTATAAGAATGATGAATTTAGAAAATAATTAAAGCTTATATGTGAGTGAGCCCACTTGCTAAAATCTTTGCTTTCAAACTAGGCCATAAATTGCTTTCTTCGTAGAGGCTAATCATGGCCGTCTCTTTGATCTTTTTTTTCTTGTTCATGAAGTTTTAAAAAATAATTGAAAAAAGGAGTTTTGCTTTAATTTATGCACCTGTAAAATTCAAGATGAAAGTCATTTTTAAATAGATAAAACAAAACGAGTAAGGAAAAGAAGAAAATGACAAAAATTTCTTACATCTAATTACATTGAGAATTGAATATTTTTTTTTTTTGACTTTGAGAATATGAGTGTAAGTAAAGTAAACAATAGGAGACAAATTTGTGGGTGAATATATAATTTTTTTTAATTTCTTGATTTTCTTATAGTTTTTATTCCAATTCCTTTAATTGAACNTTTAATGATTCCCTTATTTTAAAGCAGATTTGGAGATTATTGTCTAAACCTAATCTTTTTCTTAGCAAGGTCTTGAAAGAAAATTACTTTCCAGTAGGCTGTGTGTTGGAGGCAAAACCATCTCAGTCTACTTCCTGGATGTGGAATAATTGGATGCAAGTCATGGGCTATTATAGGCATTGCTTCAGAAAGGAGATTAAGGATGGGGTGAATACAATAATTCTGCTTGATCCTTGGATTCCAGGCTTCAGAAAGGGACATTTAAGGTTGAAAGAAGAGAGGCCAATGTGGACACATTTACTTGGGTAAGGGAGCTGCTGCCTGATAGAAGATGGAACATGGAGCTTCTCCACAATTTATTTACCCCTGAAACTTGTGATGCAATCCTGAAGATTTGCACCTTAGAGCTTACTGCAAAAGATAGATGGGTGTCGTGTCTTGAGCTGAAAGGAAAGTTTTCTGTAGCCTCCACTTACTCTAATTTTATCTTGGAGAAAATTCAGAGCCTAGACAGAGCAGAGAGCAGTTCCTCTTCTTTGAGGGACAAAAATGCAAGGGACAAAGATGTTGAAACTTGAATATAAAGAAGAAGGTAAAACATTTTATTTGAAAATGTTTCTCAGAATCTTTACCCGTGGGTCCGAACTTGAAAAAGAGAGGGGTGGGTGTGTTTGCATATGAAATATTACATTCTATACTCATACTCAAAATCTGACTCAATTTTAATTCAACTTCACTCTCCTCAATATTATCAATATAATTAAATAATACCAACCAATCATTCTTACATATCACATCAACTTTAATTTACTATTCATACTCTCACATAAGTTTAACTAATCATTACTTCACACAATTTCTCTCATACTTTTGCATCAAATCAACTTTAATTATTTTATTTTAAATATTATTTAATATAAAATCAAATTCACACTAACAACTAACCATACCACTTTTATAAAAATTAACTCTAGTTAAAAAAAAAAAAAACTCATTTTGAATGGATTATTTGATAAACAATCGCTCCCTTAGCTTCTTAATTCTTAGTGATGCAAACATGAACTCCTGGTAGCCATAAACATAGAAGAAAATGGAAAGAAAGAAAGAAAGAAAGAACAAAGTTATCGAAAATTTCGAATCGTTGACAGAACATTGACTAGGACTCTCACTATCGCGCCGTGTTTCAGACAACCTCTGCACGGCAACAAAAGCGGGTTGTTTCGGACGAAGGAGCTCGGATATTTCACAACTCAGCATAGACAGAATATCAGGAATTCCCGGCCGGTCAACTGCCATTTCTTGCACGCACAATAGGCCAACATTTGCATATCTCGCCACATCGGTTTCCTAAAATGGATCATCGTACGTCATTAGTGGGTCCACAAAGTCGAGTATCTTCTCTTCGTTCCACAGTTTCCATGCCTGGAAATTATCCAAAACACGACCGAAGTTTATTATTATGGCCTGTTTATTGATGGTAAATAAAATGTAGAATAGTAATTAGTAACTTACATATGCTATTAGGAACATTTGTTGCTCTTCATGGTAGAAACTGGCACTTTTGCCACTCAAAATCTCTAATATCAGGACACCAAAGCTGTAAACATCCGATTTTTCCGAGAACATCCCGTGTAACGCGTATTCTGGGGACATGTAGCCACTGCACGATGAATTCAGAGAAATAAGGGTACGCTTGAATACAAGACGAGTTATTTCGGTTAACCAGAGTTAATTTTGAAAAAATGTGATATGATTAGTTGTTATGTTAGCGGGATTTTGAGTTTATAAATATAAAATAAATAAAGTTGATTTTATGTAAAAGTAGGAGAGATAATGTGAAGTGACGGTTAGTTAATTATATTGATAATAGTATGGATGATGGGGTTCGACTAAAGCTGAGTTACATTTTGAGTATGAATTGAGTATAAATTGAAAAAATTTATATAAACAAACACCCCCTAAGCATCCTAGTGTACCAAAAAATGTGTCTTGTGATGAAATTTGAGAAAATTATTCGAGTAAAATACACTTACTATGTCCCGACAACCCTTTTTGTCTTTGCGGCTTGATCTTCCTTGCCACAGTATATTCTTGCTGTGCCGAAGTCTGAAATTTTTGGGTTAAGATTCGTGTCGAGTAAAATGTTACTAGCCTTCAGATCTCTGTGGATGATTCTTAGCCTTGAATCCCTATGTAGATAAAGTAAACCTCGACAGATCCCGTCAATGATGTTTGCACGAGTTCGCCAGTCAAGAAACTCTCGTTTACGTGAACCTGAGATTTAGAGTGTGATTGGAAACAAGTTATGAACAGTTACAACAGGTTGGATTATTTCATATCAAATCATCTAACTCAGAATCCAACTTAACCCACTTTTCTTACTTTTTATAAATATATAAATAATATCAATCAATCATTCTTACACGATCACATCAACGTTAATTCACTATTTATTTACTCGCGTAATTTTAACTACCCATCACTTCTAATTATCACTCATATTATTATATCACATCAATTTTAATATTAAATTTGAAATATTATTTAACTTCAAATTCAAAATCATCCACTCAATCTCCTCTATTCAAAATAATTCACTTTAAGTTACTTTAAAGTTTAACCAAACAAAACCGACTGAATTTATATCCAACCGTGCCCTTAGCGTGTCTCAATTATAAATCAAACACTTCAAGCAAAAACAGCTGCAGAAAAAACTTGACCTCATCACGAGTGACTACTTACCAAAGATGTAAGAATCGAGACTTCCATTAGATAAATATTCGTAGACGAGCATGTTTACTTCGCAGTCCACACATCAACCGAGAAGTTGAACGAGATTGCGATGTTGGAGCTTAGAAATCACTAGAACCTCGTTCATGAACTCCTCCTAGCCTTGGTTGGACAATATTGAGAGTCTTTTTACAGCGATTTCTTGACCATTCAATAATTTTCCCTGCCAAATAAATTACGATTCGAAATAATCAATTTTACACGTCCCGGAAATCAGGAAANAAAAAAAAAAAAAAAAAAAAAAAAAAAAAAAAAACTCGAGATGTTCGGGATAAGAATGAAGTACTATGTAGACTGATCCGAAGCCACCCTGTCCCAGCTTATTTGCAGGATCAAACTTGCCAGTTGCAATAAAGAGCATTTGAAATTTAAACAAGCACAATTCCTCAAGTTTAACTCCTTGCACATTATGTTTGTGCAAATTTTTACCAAGATATCTTGTGTCGACCTCAACTGCTAACAACATATTCTCGTTTTTTCGATACCTTTCCTTCCTCTCCCATACGAATTCTCATTTACTTGTGCACTTGAGCAACATCATTCGTAGAAAGTATGCACATACGAGGATAGTTATCATAACCCCTAAGATTGTGACTACTATAACTACAATGTGGCCTTTCATGTTTCCTGTAAAAATGCACAAGAGACAGAGAATGAGCCCTCTTACCTTCTTCTATTTCCAATTTTCTATAGCCGAACTACGAAATATTCAAGTTTCGTTTTGAAACAAAAGGTCGACTTTTGCAAAAATAACACAAACACAGGACATTAAACAACATGTAGTAGGCAAATAATGCATTTTTAGTCTTGTTGGTTTAACACCAAAGCAATTTTAGTCCCAAGGTTCCTACTTTTTGTCTTTTAATCTTGTGATTTAACATTTTGCTGCATTTCAGTCATTTGAGAACTAAAACTGCAAGAAAATTTTAAATTACAGGATTGAAATTGCAACATATGACTTAAAATGCAATTTAGCCACCACTAAAACTACTGTACCTTTAAACTAGCAGCTCGACTAAAAATGCAATTTAACCCACAAAGTATCTCACCCAGCTCCGAGTGTGCCAACCGAATGTATAGGTCCATGCCACCACCACGGACCTAGCGCACGTCAATTAATTCTTCTGACCACCGTACGCACCCAATCCCTTCTACCAACGCATACGCCACGCACGAACAATTATCCAAGCACTCCTTCCTACACTCGTCCCCAACACTCGCAAACCACCGGCTGTGGTCCGGAAGCTTCACCCTCCCAACCTTCACAAACCCGTCTTCCGAGCACCCGAGCCCCGTCTTCCTCACACACGACCCGCTAGACCAGTTCCCCCCGTTCCCCCACTCCCTCAGCTCAAACCCCGGGAAACACCCACATTTTGCCTGTGGGCCCCGCTTGCAGATGCCGAAACCCCCACATTTCCCGTACTGCATTTTTAAATCTTGGTTCTGCCCCTGCCATGCCACATTACACCGTTAAAATGATGGATTAATGGATCGTTGTTATAAACAATTGGAGCTTTTGCTGATAATTAGACCAACGAGCAACTAACTTTCTTATCTCCCGGAAAAAAGGAGTAGTAATAATAATAATAATAATAATAATAATAATAATAATAATAATAATAATACGGCGAAAATGCATTTTTTGTCACGTTGGTTTAACGTCATAGCAATTTCAGTCCTCAAAGGACCTAAATTGCGGCAAAGTTTTAAATCACATACCAAAAAATGAAATGTTGAAATTTTGGGATTAAAATTGCTATGGTGTTAAACTAGCAGAACTAGAAATGCATTTTTGCCTAATAATAATGTACCACCAATAAATCGGCCATAATAAACTTCAGTCGTGTTTTGAATAATTTCCAGGTGTGGAAATTGTGGAACAAAGACAGGATACTCGACTTGGTGGACCCACTACTAACGTACGATGATTCCGGAAAGGAAAGTGACGTGTTGAGATATGCAAATGTTGGCCTGCTGTGTGTGCAAGACAGGCTAATGAAAAGAGGTTTTTGATTTTCTGGTATTTGACTAAATTAACATCTACATTGGTTTCTGTCATTTTCAAGCCATTATATATGGGATACTCTCGCATTAGTAAGTTAGGGTTGTTTCACTATAATGCTTGTTTTAGACTTTGTATGTGGTATTTACCTTTACTGTGGGTTTCAGGGCCGTCCCAAGGAGTCACACCCATGTATAGTTTGAAGCCTTCGCATTTTGCAGACGTTGAGAAAATTGCTAACGAAAGCGTTGGATATTTGTAGGTATTTTTGTTGTTGTACCACCAATCATACAATTTATTACTGATTATATATGTACATGTTATACACAAATATAATCTTTTGATTTGATACTTTCGTGCTTCTCAGTCAAATTTGCCAAAGAATTTATGCATAAAGGAATTTCTCAAATTTCTCTTTCACTACCAAATATAGATATATAGTTCATGCTAAGGGAAAGAAATTATGCAAGGTCACATATACCGAGACTTTCTAAACGAAAACAGGATCTTTGAAGGGTCAGCTAAGGGAAAGAAATTATGCAAGGTCACATATACCGAGACTTTCTAAACGAAAACAAGATCTTTGAAGGGTCAGCTAAGGGAAAGAAATTATGCAAGGTCACATATACCGAGACTTTCTAAACGAAAACAGGATCTTTGAAGGGTCAACTTGTGCTGTGAGTTTACGCTCATACCGCATGAAGGAATTGCTTTCAAGGTTCAAATTTAGTACAAATTTATGTTGCTATGTTGGGTACATTATTGTGCCAATGGTAATATCTTGCTTTTGAACACAACTTCGAAGATTTTATGGTACACCAAACACTTTCTTTTGACTTTTTTTTTGTGATTGTTGGATATTTTATCATATTGTGGGACTTCTACCTTTATGATGGATTTTTATAGCTATATGAATCTACTTTTAGAAATGTTGGCAAATGTATGTATGTGTACTCTTCGAGTTAGACAAATATATGTATAAGGTTGAACACATTTTAAATAGCAAATTTTTGGGGACAATCAAAAAGTTATCAATATTTAACAGTTATAAATTGAACTCGAACTGGTTATGCGTGCACAGTCGAGAGCCCTCTAGTCTCATACTAGATGAATATTAAGAACCATAAACAAAAGCTTTATGTGATGTACATAATACACCCTTGGACAATTAGTACATACTTAGCTAAAGTTGTCATTTACAAGTTACATGGCGCAGACCCTAGTAAGATATTGTCCGCTTTGGGCTACTTCCGCCACCCGCACGGCTTTGTTCTTGGCTGGGCTTCAATACACACCCACCAAAACGCGTCTTACTAGTGAAGGTATCCACACCCTCATATAAGGCCTGCTTCGTTTCCCTTCAAACCCGATGTGGGATGCGCTGCATCATTACAGCATCTCATTTACAACACTATGATACGAATATTTCCTTTCTACTTTAAACTACGAAAACATTTTGTTACTATATGTGTAATTCTGTTTGATCTGACGGCTAAAATCTGCATAGGGCATAGGGCTTCAAACGAATTGAGCGGCTCGCGAACTGCTCGCGAACGCTCGAGTCAAAGCTCGACTCGAGCTGGAGTTTGACCGAGTTGAGTCGAGCTCGAACGAGTTCGTGCTCAAGCCCATATTTTGCATTGTCGAGCGACTCGAAAAATATGTTATATTTTATTATTGTACTTAAAATTTTCGAGCCGAGCTCCAATATTTGGATTTCGAGTCAAGCTCAAGCAACTATACTTTTTTATCGAGTCGAGCTCGAGCCTCATAAATCGAGCTCNCGATAAGACCAGTGCTCGACTCGACTCGCTCGTTTGAAGTATGGGTAAGATCAGATTTGCCGCAAACTACTATGTCAATTGATAGCTTAAAGCAAAATTTAAAAATACTGTTTTGCAGAACTCGAAATTCGGTCTTCCCCAATATATTAAAATCTGAAATATAATTAAACATGTATTTCGCATGAATTTCATTACGTTATCGCATTCTATTTCAATTTAGGACTAAATAGTAAGATCTATTGGTTATGTTAGATAGTTGATTTGTTAACAAAAACCTTTGATAACGTGTTGGATTAAACGGACTAATACTTGCAGTTTTAGGACTAAAGAGTATGATATATTGGATATATATGTTAGATAGTTTGATTTGTTAATAATTTAAAAAAAAAAAAATTGATGACGTGTTGTATTAAAATTATTTAAAATGAGTGTTATTCTACACTCAATTTATCAACAGAGATAAATTTTAGATTGCATTTATAGAACTATGTATATATAAAATAATTTATCTAGAACTTCATTATTTAAATTTAAAATAGTTTTTTTTTCTCATTGTTACACCATATGTAAATATGAGTACAATGGGCAGATAAGTAGTTATTTAATTGTATTATGAAAATTAATTATATCTTTTAATACGCAAAAATAAAAAAAATAAAAATTAAATTGAGTAGAGGAAAATTTCTCCATCCAAACACTTTCCATACTCTTAAAAAAATATAAAAATAAAAACATGACATTTTAAAATATTCTCTATGTTTTTATTTAAATAAAAATATTACAGGCAAACGTGCCTACTGATTATATCGCGTCACACGATAACTTGTGATTTCTTATATGTCACTCTCTTTCTTGCTATATATACATAATATTATATATAAAAGTGTACATAACACTCACATTGAGTGGGTCCCATCAAAAATTAAAAAATTAAGTAGACTCTACTCCATGTGAGTGTTATGTACATCTCTATGTACATTTATTACGTACATGTAACATTTTTCCTCTTTATTATGTACAAATTAAATCACCTGTTTAGTTGAAAACTATAAAAATATAAAATTGCCTCTTCAATTAAATGATTAATCATAAAGAACTCTGCCATCAAATTTCGTGTTGATGACACCAATAGTAGTTGCATTATGCATGTTCACATTTCCTGTGTGGTTTAACCAATATAAATTATTCTATTTTATTTGGAGCAGTATTAGTTATTTTTCCCAATCAGTTTCACCCAACATGGAAATATATGGTTTGTGAATTGTGAATAATTAACACATTTATTTGGATATAATTATCTATATACTACTCTAAAAGGACGAGTGTTTTAGTAAAAATATGAACTACCTAAAATAACCTTACTTTGACATATTTTTAATGGCAAATTAGTAATACACTAATACATATTTTATTTATATTTTTAATTAAAAAAATGAATTATTTAAAAAACCCTTACTTTAACATGTTTTTAATGGCAAATTAGTAATACACTAATACCCATCATATCTTATATTTTTAATTAATAACTAATACTTAATTTATTAAATAAAATTACAAGAACAATACATTTCACATCTCCTAAAAATCAAACAAAATATTCTCGCACCATTATTTATCAGCAAATGGTTTTCTTCCACATATCTCCCAAAAATCAACCCAACATCAACCTAAACAACAAAGTTTTGAAAAGATATAGAATTGTTATTTTTAAAAAAAATCCTTGGTTTTAATATAATTTTATACATTATCTTACAAACTAGCGAAGTTGAACAATTTCATTTAGCTACTTCATTATTTAAGAAAAGTAAACTCTTATATTTAGAATTAGAATAGAAATTGCACTTTAATCTAGAATGTTTTGTTTGTGTAATTGTATTTAATTAATTAAATATTAAATAAGTATTAGTATATTACTAATTTGACATTAAAAATATGTCGAATAAAAAGTTAATATATTTTTTTTCATAATAACTTAGAATAAAAAGTAAATTGTGTAATAGTATGAGAGATAAATTGTTGAATTATTATTTTGCAACCTAAAAACTACTCAATTTTTTCACTTAAAATAAGATTAAAGTAATTTTGTGAAATTATATAATACTAAAATTCAATCCATTTTTTTCATGTCGAATGGATATTGCTTGAGCAGCATGATTTGATTTTGATTATACAATTATCTACGAATTAATTAAGATGTCTAGAGAATCATAATGTGCTTATACGCTGAAAATCAATAAATTTTTACCATTAAATTATATCATATATCACCATTACTCATCAATTATTAATAACTATAACTATAAAAATTAAAATCGATAATGTTTTTCCTCATAACGCCCATAACTTATAAAAACATTTTTTTTTTCAAAATAACATATAAAAATAATGTAATAGTATGAGAAATTAATTGTTGAATGATTGTTTTGCAGCCTAAACATCTAATCTACTTTTATAAAATTGTATAATACTAAAACCCATACTATTTATGTTTTTTTTGAAATAGTGTACCGCTTGAGCAACATGATTTAATTTAGATAACGTGATTATCTATAAATTAATTAAAAAAGAATTAGAAAATCATGATATGCACATATACATTTAAAATTTATTAATTTTAGCAATAAATTATATCGATATATTAC